TTTCTGTTATATGTAGGCAAAGAAGAAATTTTTTGAAAGAAAAATATAATGCAAATGATAAAACCAATGTTGACTATTGATTATAGAGTATAAAAACTTTGACCCAATTAAAGGACACACCACAGAAATAATGCTACACATTGAATTCATTATAAAAAGTTCAGATTCATACATGATAGAATGAAGGGACCATTAATTAAAGTTGTGAAATATTCTATGTGCTCATCATTCTCTGACAGTCTCCCTTGAACTCAGTTCTCATGAGATATCTTTGTTTTCTTTTTTGCATGTGGAATTAATTTTAATTTTGTAGGAAGAAAAGATAGAGTCACATAATTCTTTTGTTTCCCAAGTTACTCCATATGTGCATATGTGCAACTTCTGCTCTACTGTTCTAGTCTATGTCAATGAATAAGGAAATAATACTTCATTTTCCAGAAATGAAAAAAGCTCAGGGATTTCTTTCTAGCACTGAAAATTAGTTTCTGGAGAGCTAGGTCAATAGAATGTGTTTAGTGATAAAGTGGCTAAGTTTTGGCATAGTCATTTGATAAAAATGTTGATGAATCAAGTTTCACTAGACTTTTGGAAGTTTTCACATGTTCCTAGTTAAAGAGGAAAACACATTACATTCACTATTACCATCTTTATACCTTGAAGGTATAGATGTTGGGTTGAGGAATCATGAAATATCAATCAAGCATTATCCAAAAAAAAATATTTAAATGATTTCTCTGAAAAGACATGCATCAAACTCACCATGAGACTTTTCTTGCTAATGTCTCCATTTACTATGGTGAGAGTTATTACAGTAATGTTGGTAGAATGATTTAGACGCAGCCTGAGTAAATTCTGCTACCTTCAAAAGGATTAATAAAATCCTCCCAACTGTACAAACCAAATTATTCTTTTTTTAAAAAGGTATTACTTGGGCTGGGGTTGTGGCTCAGTGGTAGAGCACTTGCCTAGCAGGTGTGAGGCATTGGGTTCGATTCTCAGCACTGCATATAAATCAATAAAAAAATAAAGGTCCATCAAAACTAAAAAAATATTGTTTTAAAAAAGATGTTACCATGAGATATTAATAGATCATTTTTAGAGAAATGGATTGTGTCAGTCATCTTCAAGTCACTGAAAAAAAATACTTAAGATAATCAACTTATAAAGAGAAAAGTTTTATTTTGACTGATAGTTTGAGAGATTGCAGTCCATGGCTGGTTGGCCCCATTGCTTTTGGGCTGGTGACGAGGCAACACATTGTGCCAGGTAATACGTGGCAGCACAAAATTGCTTACTTCATGGAGGAAATGCTAAAAAGCAGAAGAAAAAGGGGCTAGCATTGCATTATTCACTTAAGTGGCATGTTCCCCAGAGACCCGGGGACCTCCCCACCTCTTAAAGTTTCTTCCATTTCCTAATAGCACCAAGAACTGCAGATCAAGTTTCAACACATGGCATTTGGGGACATTCTGGATCCAGAATACAGCACAGGTTGTTTGTATAATACAAGTAACACACACACACACAAAAGTCCATGTCATATATATTTTTTTCAATAATGAATCTTAATGAATTTTTAGCTATTGCAGCATTAATACTTGACTTCTGTACTTTGATTATTCTCATAGGATTCTGTAATCTTCATTATAATATTAGTTTTCTCTTAACTGTCTGCCTTCTCTGCAAGTCTATAATCTCTGTAATGTGAGGACCTGGCTCTCATATATCAAATTTATAGTCACTAGAGAATGTACCAAATATATCTATTGAATAGATGTGAATTAATATTCAATAAAACTTACAAAAGTTCATCATTATAATGTCACATATGTTTTATAAATGGAAAAAAGCCCAAGAATTTTATTTTAAATCTAGGACTGAACTTGAATCATTGGTGTTTGTTGTTTCTGAAAGCCTGTTTTACAGAAAAATACCTCTGTGCAATAATTAGCAAAATAGTTTTCTCTCCTTTTCTTATAACTAAAATAATTTTGAGAATTAGAAGTCAATACATTAAGCTAAATTTGGTTACTTTACTATAAGACATTGAAATGCATTTAATAGGTGTGTGGGTATATGTGTATGTTTGTGTGCATACATGTGTGAGAGGAGTGTTAATTTCTAAGTGGGAAGGAGTTCATATCATTTATTGGACTTATTTAACTGGAGATGGCATTTCAGAAAACTTCTTACAGGAACTCTATTCAACTTTGGGAATGGCTGTATGAGAACCTGAGCATATATACTCTTTTAATTGAATATTACATTTTAACTTGTCTTTTTAAAAACTTGATATTATGATCACATATGCAAAATAGACATAGGAAGGAGCTAAAAATTGATTGGCAGTCTATCATAAATCAGTGTCTCCAAGCTCTCTAGCGCTTGCAACAATCCAATTAGGAAGGTTCTAATATCTCTACAGGATGAGGAAATTGAATCTCAAAGAGAAATTATCAATGAAGCTAGTACTTATGAGGAGATAAGAGTCTGAACCAGGCTCATCTAATTCCAAGGTTCAAGTTTATTACATTCATTTCTTCAAGTTTAAAACCTGGACCTTTCTGTGGCACCAGCAGCATACTTGAATTGTGTGCCTAGAGTGGTCTTGCTTCTATGAATCCTTGTTAGAGAGGCTCTGCCCTTGCTGCTCCTTAGAGAGAGGTCTCTTCCCTTTCTCTCTTCAGTCCTAGCTGCCTCTGATACTGACTGTATCTTAATTTCTTAAAGATACATCTACTTTCTGGTGATGATTCATCCTGAAACTATGTAGTCCTTGCAGATTTCTCCTTTTGCAATAAAACTATCCCTGCCTAAGACAAAACTGGAATGAGAGAGAATATTTACTTTGAGTTTTTAAGGTATATCAGGTACTGTGCTAGAATATTTAGTGTGGGTGTGCGTGTGTAGGGGGTGTGTGTGTGTGTGTGTGTGTGTGTGTGTGTGTGTGTGTGAATGGGGGCATGATCTTCAAAACAAACTTGTGAAAATACATGATGAAAGTTTTGGCCAGCAAATGAAATTTAGTCTGAAAGGAATACCTTGGACAATGAATGTGGAGATCTCTGTCCATATGAGTTGGACTGACATGTAATCACAAAATTAGTCATGGATATTAGATCTGATCAGAAAACAGAAATAAGAGCAAAAAATTATATAACACTAAAACTAGCACCAAGGTTGAAGTTATTTCATATATACATACAAGATATTTAGAGCTATTCTAAAATGTGCTATGCTTTTTTTCCTAGAGATTTTCAATTCTGTACATTACAGTTGTATATTCTTCACTTATTTATATTTTATCATGTATACCACAGGTATATCAAAGGTATGATGCTTTAAGCACATTTTAGAACAGCTGTAAATATCATGTATGTATAAATAAATCAATAAATACATAATCAATTATAAAAATAAATAAACACAATGTATTACCTAAGATTCTATGATCTTTTCCACATTCTTGAGACCCAGAGGAATAGCCAGGAATGCCTCAATCTCAATGGATATGAGTTGAGTCAATGGTCAGTAAATGAATCATAATGTACTACAGGTTTATAGAAGACATCTTTCCTGCTCATACAGCATGGGTAAGAAACTTATACTGAGCCGGTACTATATGCAAGGCATTCTGTATATAGCTCTTTTTATTCTTCCCATATAGCCAAAGAAGACCCATTTTTTCAACGAAGAGAGGTAACTTTCTTTTCCATTGATGCTCATGTGAGAATGCCTGAATACATAAAGAAAGTGTTAACTTTCCTTGAGACTTTTTTCTTACTGAGAAGAGCCATTAAAACTTTAGCCCTTTTCATATGTCTTAAATATAAAACTGTCATATTGAGAAAATAAATACACAGGATGCACATTAAGTTTGAAAATTCGCTCTAGATGCTGAATTTTTGTGATTTATGGGGAAAAAAACTTAACACAGAACATTTAGGACATACTAAAAAACTCAATATAGGATGCAGGAGAAATAGTGAGAGGCTTACAAGCCTCCTTTAACTATTATCATCACTTTCCACCCTAGTTAAAGAAGTTCCCAAGCATAGAATGCTACCAGACGGTCCCACACCATCTTTTCCTACACACTGGGGGTACCCTACTACTGGCTGCTCTACATGCTCCAAAACACATCTTTATGGAGCACTGAATCCAGTCATATATAGGACTTGCTGATCTCTGAGAGATAAAAAATGATGGAAGAAAGTATTATCTTCAACAATCCCTTATATTCAATGATATGGTATTTATATATAACCGTGCACAACTTCTCATATACATTAAATCACCTCTAGATTACTTATAATATCTAACACAATGTAAATGCTACGTAAATAGTTTTATATTATTTAGAAAATGATGCATAAAAAATTTGCATATGTTCAGTACAGATGTGACTATTTTTAGGCTTAACCACATAGTACACATCAGCAACAATGCAATTTAAAAAATATTTTTGATCCACAGTTGGTTGAATTCATGGATGTGAAATCTATGGATATGAAGAGCTAATTGTATAGTGTTTTTTACATCCCCTCTTACAGACCAATGCAGGTAAAATCAACTAACTAATTCAATAAGATCAACTAACCAATTTACCAACAATCACAGACAGAAACTTCTGTTTATAATCAGTTAATTCAACTCATGGAACCCTTCTTCAAGGGCCATCTTTTAACTGTGGGACTAAACACTTCACTGATCCTACCTATTCTCAGGTAGCTGGTATCTGTGGAGATTTTTCCATCTTATTCATTCTATCCAATGACAATTTCATATGCAGGATTTTATGCAGAGAGACCTTTGTTGTAGTCAAGATTTGAAATTACTTGAGGCTCTATCCTCAACCTCTTTGAGCAATCATTTTTTTCTTTTGCAGCTGTGAAATGAAGAGATTGAGTGAGACCATCTGTCATTTCTATGATTTTATGCTCAACTATCCTCTTGGGAAGCCAAGATTTCAGCTGAGAAAGAAAAATGTCCTTGAGATCCAAGGACAAGATGACCTCAGATATGGGACGATTTTGCAACTTCCTCAGAGACAAGTTTCCAAGCATTTATACATCTTCTTCCTCTCTGGAAACATCATTTATACCCTGACTTTCAACAATTGAATTTGAGTTCCATCCTGGCCTTATTTCCCTGGAGAAGCAGGTGGGGATCTCTGTACTGACTTGGTCATAAAATTTTGCCAATTAATTTGGAACAAAGCTATTAAGGTCAAGATTCTTCAGATGATTAGAAATTTCCATAATGCAATCCAATTTTTGAAGCCTTTGAGGATATTTAATCCTGATTATTGTGATTAACATGTAAATATAAGCATGCCAAATAAACATTATGAGAAATACCATTAGGTATTTTGGTCAATCATTTGAAAGTTAACAAATTTAAATTGCTTTAAAGCAAGCAGTTAATTTTGATAATGTTGTCAGAGGACATAGATTGAACAAGAGCCTTTTAAACAAATACTTATTAAATTAAACAAATACTTATTAATTAAACAAATACTTATTCTCTATTCTTTTTTAATCCATTAACGGGGTAATATGTGAATTCTGCATTTACGTGTGTACAAGGTAGGTAACATTTCTCATCAATCAAAATTCAAAAAGGATGAAAAGGAACAGTGACAGGCTCTCTACCTTATGACCTGCAAGAAACCTTATATCCCAGGGTTCTATTAATAGCTTCCATTTTTTAATGAGTGCTACAACATGAAAGAAGATGGAAAATTTTACACATTACAATATGTAGTTCTCCAAATCCTCTTTATATTTTCAGTTGTCTGCCTTCCTCTACACATGTGGCTCTTTGTCTTCAAGCTTCCCTACCTCTTTTCTTGACATACATGAAGAATGCACTCCAATACAGTTCCTGCTTTGTCTCCTGAGCCTGTCTGGAGCTCCCTACACAGTCTAATTTAGTAGTTCCTTCTCTGTGCTCCCATTCTGAATGAACCTAATTTGTCAAATCATATTGTCATTGTCTTTTTACTTATGTCTGATCCCCACTAGGTTGATAAATTTGAGGGCATGAATTAGGCTTTTCAAAGTTGAATATTTATCTAACTCAGGACCTGATAAATAAAAGATTTAACAAATGTTTGATGATTGAAATAATAGAAATAAATGTTAAAATATCAGTGGAGAAAATGGATTCCACTGGATTGAATAAATAGACATAAAATGTTAAAATATCAGTGGAAAAATGGATCACACACACCAATTTATTGGCCTTTAATCCTAAAACTTGCTAGGAAAACACATACACACACATGAATTACATAGACAGTGGTTAATGATGCAATGTATTGAGTCAGTTCTTAACTTTTCTGTACTACCATTTATCGGATGAAGGTTCTTGGATAGTTTACTTAGCCAGTCTGTGCCTCTGGAGTAATAATAGTCTCTAATTCATAAGTTTGTATGTAAGTCATTTAAAATAGGTTTTAAATATATGTTCAATAAATATTATTTATTAAATAATAATAGAGATTTGGAATCCTGAGAAATTTGACATTTACACATAAATAAATAAATGAGAATTCAAAACTGTCCCTTCAATACTTTAGTGAAAAAGATAAATTTACTCATCTGCTCAAGGCAAAAATCAGCAGATTATCCTTGACTCATCTGCCTCCTCTTGCCATCCAATAAGTTAATTACTTGGATCTGATTATTTTATCTCTACTGGTGATTGAACTCAGGGGCACTCAGCCACTGAGTCACAGACAGGGTCTCACTGAGTTGCTTAGTGCCTCACTTTTGCTGAGGCTGGCTTTAAACTCCTGATCATCCTGCCTCAGCCTCACAAGCCATCATTTACAGGCATTCGACACTACACCCAGCAATCATTCTGTCTTCTAAATGCCTCTCGGATCCTATTTAGTTTCCTCCAGCCTCCTCTTATCTGTCATAATCAAGCCATTTAATCTTTCCTGGATGAGTTCAGGGCCCTGATCTAATCTCTCTGCTTCCAGCCTTGTTCCTTTCCTACTCCATTTCCAGACTGCATGCCCAGTGGGCTTCCAAAAAGTCTATTTAGTAGTATGTCACTTCCCAAATGAAAACTTTTCCATTGTTCTACCTAAGATCTTAATTACTTAAATTTTCTTGTAAGATCTAGCAATGTGTGACATGTTCCAATCTTCCATTTTTGTCATTCTCAACTATGTACCTTATACTTCACTCATATTTTCATTATTTACTTTGGGAAAATATTTATCTTGATCTTGATCTTTTGCTAAAACAATTTTCCTTAACTCCTCCATGACTTATGTTTCTAAAAAAAATCACTTTAGGTACTAAATAATATTTATGAACCTAAAGAAATTTTGAGAGCAAAATTTGGAGAGCTGCCATCTAAGCTGTGAGTTGGTAAGGAAAGGTAGGAGTGAACCTATAGATAATAAGTATCATATGCCACAGGGCTTCCAATCAGATGCAAAATAGAATTTCCAAAAAGAGAACACATACTGTAAGAGAAAATGAGAGGAATAATTCAAGGAAACATTCCTTTGTTCCGTCTTTCAATCCTTCTTTCTTTCCTTTAATTTTTTGGTACCTGGAATTGAACTCAGGGGCATTTGACCACTGAGTCACATCCCCAGCCCTATTTTGAATTTTATTTAGAGTCAGAGTCTCACTGAGTTGCTCACCATTGCTGAGGCTGGCTTTGAACACATGATCCTCCCATACTGTCACATTTTTAACTTTTAAGAGTTCTTTGGTTCTCTGAATATCCTGTCTTTTTATTGTTAATAATATTGCCTTTTACATTTTTCATGTATTTAGTAGCTTTTTTTAATCTCTCAAAGGATATTAATGGTAACTACTTTTGAGGTTTTCTTGTGTTCTCAAAACACAAGAACATGTTTCCACGTTCAAGGTATACAGATGTCCAGCCCAATAGAAGAAAATAATCTCACACAGGCATACATGGTTGCAAAATTTAAAAATGGTTAGAACAAAGAAAAAAATGCTAACTACTTTCAAGGGAAGGAAGAAGCAGATACAAATCATTGAGCATTAGAATGACATTGAACTTATAAATATCAGTGTTGGAAGATGGAAGGAAATGGAGTAATATCCTCAGTATCCTGAGGGTAATGCTTTACAACATGAATTTTGTACTACCAGACTCACAATTCACAGTAACATAGACCAAAAGGCCCTTACAGATTTACAAGATCTTAAAAACTTGGGCCTACACATCCTTTCTTAGGAAGTAAGTGAAGAATGTTCTCTACCAAAGAAAGGAGATAGCCAGGAAAGATAAAATCATTGGACCCAAGAATTAGGGAAACTTTATTAAAGAAAGGCAAAAGAAGTCCCCATGGTGGAGATGAAGGAAGAGCCTGAGATGACTGCTGAGCCACGAAGCTGAAGTGGAATGGGGTGGAAGTTCAGACAGAAATTTATTTAAGGTGGTAGAATTGAGAAAGCACCTCCTAGTAAGTCAGATACTATGGGGGATGTTAAGAGCACAGACTCTGAAGTCATATCACATGGATTTGAAGAGGCTCTCTTTTATATGTCAGTGAATTTGTTCTCCTTATTCCTCACATGAAATATGGTGATAAATCTATACCTACTAGTTAAAGTTATTTTGAACTTTAAATGAATCTATAACTTCTTTGAATAGTTCCTGACGAAGAGCAAGTGCAAATTTATGTTACCTTAAAAATAGATGGATTGATAGGTCAACAGATCAAGAGGTAGATGACAGGTCAATAGAAGAGAGAACATTAATTAGGGTAGATTTTGGGGAAAAATTAATGAAAATCACATAGAACTCTGATTAAAACTAAAAAAGGCACATGAACTCCAAGGAAAACAAATTGAGTACCAAAAGAAAAGTAATCAAATTATAATGCTTAGTTGTTACTGGTACTTGCATAATACTAGCAATATAAATACTGGATGTTGATATAACTGTGTTGGGAGAGAAGAGTATAGGAAGTATGAATAAATTGGTTGTATAGATTATGTGCCCAAAAGAGCTATATCTTACTGTTCCATTATAGGGTGTAATAACTATCCATAAAACTGGAAAAAATATAGAAAAGTCATAATATAACATATTATTTAGCAATATGAAAGTAAAAACGAAAACAACCCATTAATTTTAGAGTAAACATTTTCCTGACAAGCCTAGCATAATTACTTGACTCTTTAAAATACAAGTATTTATATTTAATAAAAAAAGTCAAAAGGACAATAGAGAAAAGAAACAAAATGAACCAAGAAGAAGGAGAAGATAAGATTCATCTAGAGGAACCAAATAATGGAAAAAGACTTAAAAGACTTAAAAACAAGCTCCACAATATCCCCAGAAAGACTTGCAGGTTTAATGAACCAATTTATTACAAGAAAGCAGTCTTTAAAAATGGAGTCAAAAATATTACTGGCTAAAATACTTAATAAAATATTCAGTGATGCAACTAAGTCACTGATGGCCAGATTAGTTAACTGGAAGGCAAAATAGAAGTAACTCCCCTAAATACATATTACAAAGTCAAAATGAAGGATAGTTTTAGGAGACTCAATATCAGTCTCATAACAGTTTGAAATGAAAAGAGAAAAGGAAGAGAAGAAACTAATCCAAGAAGTAATAAAATAAATATTTCTTGGGCCAAAAGTCAATGTCAATCTTCAAGTGGAAGTGATCATGAAATATTGAGGAACAATAATGAAAAAATCTGAGAAAATCCTTACTGTTTCTGATCTCCATTAGCAAAGAGAAACTCTTAACAGATTCAGTAAGAAAAAACCCTATTAAAGGAACTAGAATGAAACTGCTGACAGAAATCTCACATGGTGACAATCCAACAGTACTTTTAACATGGGTAGGTAAAGTAGGGCTGGGGGTGAAACTTAGGGGCAGAGCACTTGCCCCACATATGTGAGCCTCTGGGTTCAATCCCCAGTACCACTAATTTAAAACAACAAATCTTAGGGAAAGAGACTTTTACTCATCCATAACACTATTCAATGTTTGCAATTCCAACCATTTCAAACATGTACTCAGGTACCCCCAGTGAGAAAGAAAAAAAACATTACTCTGGAATGTATTCTAATCAAACAAAAAATGAACCCAACTGAGAAAGTAAATGTTTAATACAAGAAAAAAAGTGTTGGTGATGGGGCTGAGAGTATGGCTCAGTGATTAAGTGCTTGCCTAACATGCAGGAGGCCCCTGGGTTCAATCCCCAGTAATCACAAAGAAGAGAGGGGAAATATTTGAAACAACAATTGAGAATGGATTGTGACGCATAAAAAATG